CAAAGATATGCAAATTTTCTAACTTCAGGGTTAACTCACCCTAGTTTTAGAATGGAATTAATATGAACCTTTCAAAGAAGCCTATAAAGACAAGAGTTTTGTAATCATTAATACTTTCATATGAACTAGTGTATCTGCATTTGGCTTTCCCAGCACATTAAGACTATTAAAGCAGTTTTTATATGAGGCAGTTTCAAAAAGTTCATAGAAAATTTTCATTAGCTTTTAATTCCATTTTCCACAAACTTTCAGAAGTCCTCTCACCTACGATTATAGTACTGACCTGCTTTGCAAACATACATTTATTGTAATCAAAACACATTTTCAGTCATAGTATTATGCTATGGTCTATAATGACCTATTGCAAAGGACTATAAAATTTTTCCTGGGAAAATGAGGTCATTGTCAAAGATCGAAACTTTAAAATTGGGGCCCATCACTTGTTTTCAGAACACATTAGGGCAATAAGTACTGTGAATTTAATCTCAGGCAGTCATTGGTTACAAATCAAAGACTGATTCCTAAGACTCTAAGATAATTACTAGGTAAGTTGGAACAGGTGCTTTTTTTAATTTAAATTATTTTATTGGGGGCTCGTACAATTCTTATCACATTCCATACATACATTTTGTCAAGCACATATGTACATTCGTTGCCCTCATCATCTCAAAACATTTGCCTTCCACTTTAGCCCCTAATATCAGTTGCTCATTTCCCCCCTCCCTCCCCACTCCTTCATAATCCATAACTTATTATAGTTTTGTCATAAGTTACACTGTCCGATGTTCCCAACCCCCCCTCCCCCACCCCCCACTCTCTTCTCTGCTGTCCCTCCCCCAGGGAGGAGGCAATACTTAGATTCTTGTAAGCGGTTCCCTTTTTCTACCCCACATTCCCTTAACCCTCCAGGCCTCGCTCCTCTCACTAGTCCTGAAGGAGTCATCTGTCCTGGATTCCCTGTTTCCAGTTGTTTTCTGTACCAATGTGCATCCTCTGGTCTAGTCACACTTGTAAGGTAGAATTGGGATCATGATAGTGGGGGGGGGAGAAGCATTTAAGAACTAGAGGAAAGTTACATGTTTCATCGTTGCTGCCCTGCACCCTGATTCGCTCGTCTTCTCCCCACAGCCCTTTAGCAAGGGGGTGTCCAGTTGCCTACTGATGGCTTTGAGTCTCCACTCTACACTCACCCACCTTTACAATGATATTTTTTTGTTCTTTGATGCTTGATACCTGATCTTTGACAGCTTGTGTTCACACATGCTGTTGTTCTTCTTCCATGTGGGCTTTGTTGCTTCTGAGCTAGTTGGCCACTTGTTTATCTTCAAGCCTTTACGACACCAGGCGCTATATCTTTTCATAGCCGGACACCATCAGCTTTCACCACCTTTGCTTATGCACACGTTTGTCTTCAGTGATCATATAGGAAGGTGGGCACCCACTGATCTGATTTTTAGTTCTTTGATGTCTGATAACTGGTCCCCTTCTGTACCTCGTGGTCAGACAGGCTGGTGTGCTACTTCCATGTGGGTTTTGATGCTTCTGAGCTAGATGACCGCTTGTTTGTCTTCAAGCCTTTAGGACCCCAGACACTATATCTTTTGATCACCAGGCACCATTAGCTCTCTTCACCACATTTGCTTAGGCACTTTTGTCTTCAGTGATTGTGTCAGTAAAGTGGGCACCCACTGATACGATTTTCCGTTCTTTGATGTCTGATAACTGATCCCTTCGACACCTCGTTGTCAGACAGGCTGGTGTGCTTCTTCCATGTGGGCTTTGGTGCTTCTCAGCTAGATGGCCGCTTATTTGTCTTCAAGCCTTTAAGATGCCAAACGCTCTACCTTTTGGTAGCGGGCACCATCAGCTTTCTTCACCACATTTGCTTATGCTCACATTTTTCTTCAGCAATCTTGTCGGGAAGGTGGAACAGGTGCTTTTATTATTTTAGTTCAATGCAAGAAAAGGCTCAGGGTCTTTCAATAATTTAAAAGATGCATATACTGCAAGTGAAGGTGATTCCGATAAAGAATTTAATGCAAACAGGGGTTGGTTCAATTGTTTCATCCCACCAAAAGCCAACAAAGTGACAGAGTTCATTTTGACTCAGTGATCCTAAGTAACGTTTCTAATACTATAAATTTCCACAGGATCATACAGCCTCATCTTTCTCCAGAGGAGCAATTGGTGGGTGTAAACTGTCAACCTTGCGATTAGCAGACCAATGCCTAGGCCTCAGCACCCCCAGGGCTCCTTAATCAGGCCATCCTTCCTTCTCACTGCCATCTAAGTCAATGCTGGCTTACAGTGACCCCTGTGGGTTTCAGAGACTGTGATTATTTACAGGAGTGGAAAGCCCAGTCCTTCTCCTAGAGCTGCTGGTGGTTTCAAACTGCAGATCACGTGCATCTCAGCTCAGCAATTAACCACTAGGGTTCCTCTAGATCAGGCGTCCTCAAACTACGGCCCGTGGCCCGCCGAGGACATTTATCCGGCCCGAGGAGTGTTTTTGCCCCGTTTGGTTTTTTTACTTCAAAATAAGTTATGTGTAGTATGCATAGGAGTTTGTTCATAGTTTCTTTTTAAACTATAGTCCGGCCCTCCAGTCTGTGGGACAATGAACTGACCCCGTTTAAAAAGTTTGAGGACCCCGGCTCTAAATCATCTCATAGAGAGATGGAGTAAATCATCTCATTGGAGAAGGAGTAAAGGGCAAGTACTATTCCCCAAGTCAAACATTCATAACAGAGGGACTTAACATATGTTAAATTCAATCATTCACTCATTTTATAAAAATGGCTGTTTAATTATGAATCAAGTTATTTCCCTTAACTAGTGTCTGCCGAAATTCCATTTAATCCATGAAGACTGGAAACACAGCGTATCTACAGGTCACACTCCAAAAGTGGTATCTCAATGTAACAAGGAGAACATCTGTCCACATGCCTGTCTCTCAAATGTTCTCTTCCTTCTACCAGGTACCAATCTGTAAGAAACTGTAAGGACACAGGGAGGGTGTAACTCCTGCAGGTTCTTCCTGCTTTGTAACAGGCATTACTCCATAACCAGGGACCATGGAAACCTCAGTGTAATTAATAACTAAGTGTCAAATTCCTTCACTTCTGGGGGAAAAAAAGGGGCAAGCTTTCTTCTTATTAGGTGAAAGACAGGACATCTGTTGCTTGTTTTCCTATGAGGAAGACATCGTTGCAGGTCTGAAATCTATACTGTGCAATCACTGAAAGTGAGATAATTTTAAGGACTAAGTAGTGAATTTAAGGAAATGGAATCACAAGCCAGTCATTACAATAAAAAGGAAATCTTTAGGCTGTTTTGGGATTGGATTGTCTGATTGGGAATGTTCTGGCAGTGGTCAGAGACTGAGCTGAGCTCTGAGTGCACCATGTCTAAGTGTAGCAGACCCTTGCTGGGCTGGTGATTCTGCTTCTAGCTGGCAGAGGAGGGCACTTGAGCCAAATGAGACCCAATCAGATGCACTTCTCCTTGGGAAGTGGTTCCAATTTCAGTCTGAGCTGACTGACTCTAATCTTAATCTGATGGAGTTCCTGGAGCAGAGGAAGCATTAAAGAGTTGTGCTGCCGCCATTCTCCCCATATGCATTTAGGAATCCATAAATCCATTCAGTGGCATCCAGAGGATGAAACAAGTGCATACAGAAGAGATGAGAGGGAATACTTCCTGGGCTCCTGGCAGCCTTCCATTTTCCTGGTCCTATGCCATTTACAAAGACCTGGCTCTATTCTTTGAAAAGAGAAAGAGAGGTATAACCTTGCGACAAATTCATTCATTAACTCATGCATTTCAGACGGTTTCGCACAATGAGGCCAAATTAATACAACAGGTAAGCAGGAAAGTTTGGGCTTCAAAAAACTGTTGGGAAAGCAAAAACTCCTTGTAGTGGAAATTAACAATAGCTATTCCATTGACCATCTAAAAGGAAATTTACTACAATGAGAGAGGCAACATAAGGGTGAGGTCCAAAACCCAGAGTTTACAGTAACTATCCTTCATCCTTTTATAGTTATACTTCTGTGAGTTTTGCAGTTATACTTCTTTGGTGAACTAGTGCACACAGCATATAATGCAAAGTTCCATCAAAAAGTATGGCTACAAAATCATGGAAATATTAGGCAAAATTATCAAAATACGAAGCTTTTTGTTTCTTGACATACCTCCCTTTCTTGGTCTATACACTCTTAAAGGCAGTGTTTTATCTCTCTAACCCTACCCTGAAGATTTCTGCACCCATCAATTTACACCACGTTAAATGAGCAGTTTGGGCACTCTCGAGGGACTCAAACTGTTCCCTTTCTATGGTCTTTGAGAGGGTGAGATCGGGGCTGTACGGTGTGTGGGGTATGGTTTACTAATGAAATCCTCATAGAACAGCCCTTGCTACCCGCAAAGAATGAGCAGGAGTGCTGTCATATTGGGAAAAAAGAACTCTCAAGTACCACTTTCCAGGTCTTTTCTCACCAAAGCAGTTTTCACATTTTCCCAAAACATCTTCATAATAAGTCACCATGACTTGTCTGTGTCCTTTGAGGGAAAACTATCAAGATCACCACTTTGAAGTCCTAAAAAACAATTACCTTAACTTTCTGAGAAAACCTCTCTGCTTTGAATTTAATTTCACTGGCCTAGCAGATTCCCTTGAAAGCCACTGTTGTTTTCTTTCTTTCTTTCATTCATTCATTCAGACACGTGCATTCCTAAGAGAACTTGCCTGGAGCAATCCACTGATTGCAGAGACATGTTTCAACACATTCTGTGTGGAAAAAACTGTGCATGTATGAACTGGAGCTTAACTAGCAATACTTTTTACTTACCCCTGCAGCTATTTCCTTTACAAATAACAAGGAAGTGAGAGCATACAGGTTGGGAAGAAAGGAAAGGAAGAAATGAAGGGAGAAGCCAAAGTAAAAGGAACATATAAACCAAGCGGAATTTAAATAATAAAAAGAAACTTGCTGTATTACCAGCTTCTCAATTTCTGATGCAAGATTTTGTATACAGTCAAGTTTTCTCTTGCGGCAACGCTGTGCAGCAATTCTGTTTTTACTTCTTCTTCGAATATCATGGATACAATCCAATTGTTCTGGAGTCAGCTTGTGCATTTTCAACAATGACTGGAAATCATTTCGAGAGAGTGAAATTATTCGTTGCTCATTAAATGGCAGCTTTCCCTAAAATGTGGAGAAAAAGCCATTAGTAACTATTGCTACAGTTTGCTGTTATGCTCAAATCTAGGAGGATGAAAATATAAATCTAGGTTTCTTAGAGCTTCATTTAGACATGAAGATAAAACAGATCTTCATTATTAATTTCTACATAACCCCTTATAATAGAGATTAATAATTCAATTAATATTCCAAATCTGTAATACATATGGGCTCAGAAGACAAATGGGGATGATTTAAATCAAAAGATAGAAATTATTTAATTGGGACATGCAATCTTTAAGCTTCCTTCTAAAGTGTCTGCATTTCATTCAAACAAAAAATCTACTTTCGTTTTTGAATGGCAGTACTGTGTCAAACGATTATGCCAGCAGTTTCTAAAACACTTCAGAAATGTAATTTTTCTGACATGAAAATGGTAACTTCATGTAACTCATTTAAAAGCTCCTCACTTCACCCACCAATGCAGGAACGACAAACTTTATTTTGAAGTCATTTCAAGCACACTTCAGTTTGGAGATGCCCAACTCATTGCCGCTGAAACAATGCTGACTCACAGCTACCCTAGAAGTAAAACTAGGGGAGAACCGCCCCTGTAAATTTCTGAGACCAACTCCTTAATGAGCAGAAAGCCTCGTCTTTCTGTGGAGAAGCACCTGGTGGTTTCAAACCACTGATCCTGAAGTTAGCAGCCCAACATGGAACCACTACAACACAAGGGCTACTTATTTGGAGAAAGGAAGTCACAACTTTTAAAATAATTGTGACAGCAGTTAAAAATGCCAATGTAGCATTAGTTAGTCTGATAAGCTATTTAATCTGTCTCTCAAGCCTATAAAAATTAGCTGTACAAAATGTTTTCTTTTTTAATTTTTGGATGTTATATTGGTAACACAAGTTTATAAGATTAAATACTGCATTCACAAATCTTATCATCATAACTTATACACACATTTCAGGACTTAAATCATCAATTACCTTTTCCCAAAGGAAACAAAAATACCCTTTCAAGCCTATGCTATCCAATATCTATTAAAAAATAACTGAAAAAACAAACAAACTCATTGCCACAAATGTCGATTCCAACCCATGAAGACCTAATACCAGAGAAAAGTGTTGTTGCTAATTGTTGGACAGACTCCAAGTCACCGTGGTTCCATGTGTGCAAGCCTCACTCACTGCCACTTAATCAATTCTGCCTCATAGCAACCTGAGAGGTCAGCGTAGAACATGCACAAGCTCAATGCAGTTCTAAAGGATGTGACTTTTCAGAAACTGATTACAGAGTCTTACTTCCAAGGGGCCTCTGGGTGGCTGTGAACCACCATCTATTTGGTAGTAGTTTAGGTCTAACCACTTGAACTAACAGCCCTTATTACTGGGATTATAATTGGTAACATTTTATACGGAGCAATACAAACTTCTGTATACCAAATAAGTATACAAAACAAATTGAGTGGTGACATACTACCACAAATAGTTTGCCTGGACTACAAACCTAAAGGTTAGAGGTTCAAACTTTTAAAACCAGTTTAGTAGTGTAAGCAATTTGAATCAAAGGTTCAAATCCTTTAACTGTCTATCACCTGAAGCTATTTATATAAATATATAAATACATCACTTGAAGCCTCAATACTTACTTATGATAATTACAAGATAGATATTTTCATTTAGGAATATATGTGTGTATATATGTGTGTGTATATATATATGGTCATATATATATATGAGCATTTCCAGCAGAACTGAAGGAGAAGTATAGCAATTTGCTTCCATTAAGATTACAGCCAAGAACACCTAAGTGATGCGGTTCTACTTTGCCACAAAGGGGTATCCATGAGTGGAAATCGATCTGACAGCAGCTAACAACACCACCACCATACCCAGATATATTTAACTCATTAGATTCATTAAAACTGAGGGGAAAGTTTAATGTAATGATCATGAAAAAAATCATGTCTTAGAAAGTCTCACACTAAGAGCTACATTCCTAATATGTCACTGAAAAATATCTGATCACAGTATTACTTCTTTTCCCTCTTGAGACAAGGCATTTTATTTAAATTAAACAACCCAAAGAATTTCCTGGTTAATAAATCGATTTTAAATATGTGTGGTAAAATAGAGGGTCTGAGAAAAAGACCCTCAACAAGATGAATTAACCCAGTGGCTACAAACATAACTATGTACTCAAACAATGATGAGGATGGCACAGGACAGGGCAGTGTTTCATAATGTTGAACAAAGGAATGCTGTGAGCAGGAGACTCCTAACCACCTAAATAAATGATCAAGTCCTTCACCGTGCACCTCACTGTGGAGTTGATCACAGTTTTATTGACACCAGCATAGAAGTTATGAAATTCTGGTGGGCCAGTGAGTTAAGCACAGGGTTGCTAACTGAAAGGAAAGGCAGCTGTTGAATCACCAGCAGACCCAGGGGAAGATGTAGCATAAGACTCAGCCTTGGAAACCCTATGGGGCAATTCTACTGTTCCGTATGGTAGTATACTGTGAACTGGAATCAAGTGTCGGTGGCATTGGGGTTTATCTGATTATTGGTGTATGAGTTTCCTCCTCTCTGAGCCTGCTCTAGTCTCTAATGGTTCACACAGGAGTTGATACTAACGCTAATTGGTGGTGGTTAAAAACAATGAACTAATAACATATTCAGGTTCCTCTCACCTCACATTCCTGTTCTCTGGCTGAAAAGGATTCACTGTCTCCTTCTGTATCCGTCTCCGAGTCATCTCCCAAGCTAATCACACAGGCATACGGACAAGGTTCCTGCTGCGGTTCTGGAACATAATCATCGCTGCCAATTTCCAAATTGCTTGAACACCCTTCAGTACTTAGAGTACTTATAAATGGGCAGTTGACTGACCTTAATGTTGTAAAAGTCCTCTGACCTGGTTCTGGGCTCTCACTAATCCTTATACCCAGCCAGGGACACTCATACCGTTTCTGGGAGTAGATGTGTTCTGGAACATCTTTGGCCACGGCAGGTGATAACTGCATTTGGCAAGGGGAGTCTGTGCTGCAAATGTCACTCCAGAAGCCTTTTGCGAGGTGTTCCGCCACCTCCCGTTCCACACTGCTCCGGTCACTAGAAGCAAGGCTACTATCTTCCTGAGGACCAGAGTCAGATTTCAAAGGTAAATCCTGACTTCCCCCACATGTTTTCTCATCTTGGACATCTGTACCCGACAAAGGCTTTTCTGGTAACACTGTTGTGTTTTGCACACTAGCAAGATTCAAGTCGCCATATTGGTCGTAGGTTTGTAAAAGAGACAGAGAGTAGATTCCGTGAGGATCTGCGGAAGAGTTGTGAGGGAATGGAGTTACTTCTGCTTTCACTGCTAGACACTCAGAAGCAAGCTCTCTCTTCAGTTCGTCATGTTCTGCTGGTGTTTTACTTTCTTCACATTTTAAAATTGCTCGTATATCTGCACACTCTTGGGCTCCTCCGAGCCCTTCCTCTTCAGTTGTCTCATTTGGCTGAGCAGAAGGCAGCTGACTGTCTTTGACACTGGGGTCCACAGACTGGACTCTGTCAGTTCCAAAAGCTTTTTGGAACTTTCTGTATTTAGGGCACAGAGATGGCAAAGCCAGTGCAGCATCCTTTTCTAAGCACAGGGACTCGCATGTCTGACTGGCACTGTCCTGTAGAGGAGGGGATACTTTTCCATGCCCCTGATGCTGGCTTAGTTTACAAAGAGGAGGAGCATTCTCCAGAAATTCCACCACTCCATCAATGGCTTGATCTTTCTGGTCCACAAGTGAAAATTTAAGGCCAGTTTTTTGACAGTGTGATGGAAAACATTTTTTTCTTGGGCATTCTTCCTGGTCTGCAGTGGAGTCTGAACACTTAAATTTGAAAAACTGAAAGCAGGATTCCTCGATATTATGAACACCCAGAAATTCCACACACTTACGCACTTCATCCACATTGTCCTTACTTAAAATCAATTTAGCCGTGTAGGCAAACTGAATTAAAGGTTCAAATCCTTTGACTGTCACCTGTTAATATACAAAACAAAAACAAATGTATCATTTGAAAGCTGCCTAATAGATAAATACAAGAGAAGTAGATAAGAGATGATAAAATAACTCATTAGTAATCACTACAAAATACACATTTTCATTTAGTACTAAAAATCTTCTAAGAAAAGAAAGCTATGGGGGTTCTGGAGGAATCCACATACCACATCATATTCACAGGGAACACATCATCCACTTACAGACCCCAATCCCAACACCACATAAATTATGCTGTCAGATAAAAGCCTACAATTTGACCAGTTTTTCCACATTAACTGCAATCAATCCTCTGTGAAATAAAGCAATATAGATATTATTTATTGCACACCTATCTGAAGTGCCACGTATCTGTTGCCAGTCCAGCTCCATGTGGTCACTCTATTCCAAGCAACTGCAAATTTAAACTATGAGGGGGTAACCCCACCCCACCCCCCAAAAAAACCCAGAAAAAAGCAGCAGAGCTTTTGTAGTACACTCCCTAGGCAAGTATTCAGCAACGTGTTCTGAGTTAGGGCATCCAGTGGCATTGCCTGGGAAGGTTCGCTCTGGTCACAATGCATTTTTGGTAAAAGTAATTTCCCTCAAACCTGTTTTTGTTACAGCCGATTGTGCAGCTTTGAAATTTTGTTTCCTGCTCAGGGAAAAATGCTGCAGAAACTGTTGTGATGTTGAACACAGCTCACAAGGACAGCAATATGGAGGGAAAAATCAGTGTATGAGTGCTTTTCTCATTTCAAAAAAAGGTGAAATGTCGTTTGATGACAAAGCTTGTTCTGGACATTGATCAACTTTCCAAACAGACAAAAATGTTGACTCATAGTGCACTTGGAATTGTATCCACCAGGGCGGACTGTTAATCAAGTTTTCTATTGAGTTTCTAAAGACTGCTTAACAGTATGTGACAAAAAAGGCATGTTTTGTGGTAGGCAGTGGACTGGTTTTGCCACCACAATACACTTACTCACACAACCATCTCTGTGCCAGCTTCTGGCAAAAAACAGCATGCCTCTCTTGCCTCACACACTCACTCACCTGACCTTGCTCCATGTGACTTTTTGTTTCTGCAAATGCAGAGGGACATAAAAAGATAGTGATTTGATGATGCAGAGGTTAAAAAAAAAAAGAAAAAAAAGAGGGAAGTGTTCTCAGCCATCCAAACAGATGAGCTTGAAAAATGTTTGCAAGAATGAACTCACAGATTTGACAAATGTATTAAGTATAATGGAGAGTACTTTGAAGGTGATAAGGTAAAAAAAATTTTTTTAATTTTGTTTTGTTAAAAATTTTTAAAAACCTAGCTTTCAAAAAATATTCTGGTTTTCATGGGGGTACCCCCTCCTACATATTTGTAAGAATAAAAAAGTACATATAAATTATCTACAAAGGAGTCCTGCCCCAAGCCATACATACAGTAAATGCTATTATCTGTAACTTATGCCAAACCTTTCTATACAATTTTAATACTTATCAATTTTAAAGATTCATATTTTTTTCTATACAATTTTAATACTTATCAATTTTAAAGATTCATATTTTTAAAGAGATCTATATAAAATACTAAAATTCACTCCTGTCCTGTTTCGGAAAAGATTCAAAGACTAAGTAACAAAATCTCTTAAATAGACAAATGTCCATTTACAGAAAAGGGAAGGGCAAGTGGAACCTATTTAATTGCAAACAAAGGCCTCACCTGCAGTTAAAATATGAAAAAAATTTTTTTAATCATTTTATTGGGGGCTCTTAGAGCCCTTATAACAATCCATACATCCACTGTGTCAACATCTGTATATATGTTATCATTTTCAAAACATTTTCTTTCTACTTGAGCCCTTGGTATCACCTCATTCTCCCCTCCGCCTCCCTCATGAATCCTTGGTAATTTATAAATTTTTTTCCCATATCTTACACTGACCACTGTCTCCCTTAACCCCCGTTTCTGTTGTCACCTCTGGGGTGTGGGGTGTGGTGGTGGTTATACATCAATCATTGTGATAGGTTCCCTCTTTCTCCACCCACCTTCCCCTGACTCTCATGGTATCGCTACTCTCTCATTATTGTTCCTGAGGGGTGTATCTGTTGAAAAAAATATTTAAACACTATGAGTTCATAAAAGAGATATCAAGATATTTGTGATCTCTTCTTAAAGACATGCTAATCAGTTTGTGCTTAGGAAACTTAAATGATGAAAGTAAAAAATAGTGATAATAAATTCTGGTGAGGATAAAGAGAACAAAGATCACTCATTCACTGCACTGCTGGTGGTAACGGCCGATGAAAAACCACTCTGGAAAGTACAGCAGTGAATTACTTAATCTGGATCTTCAAGACATATTGTCTTTATGGGTTCCACAAAATGATTGAGTGACTGTAAATAAAGTTTTCGGAATCTATGATGTCAACTTGGCTGGGCAATGATCTTAGTGCCTTGGTAATTAAGTAATGATGTAATTGCCCTGTTTTTAAATCTGATGTAAATAGTCTGTTTTGCGATATCCCAGAGAAATGAAAATTACACTCACACAAAAACCTGTACACAAATGTTTATTGCACCTTTATCTGTATTCGCCTAGAACCGAAATCGCCCCTATATTCTTCAACAGATGAGTAAACTGTGGTGCATTTATGACAGGAACACTAATCGGCCATAAAAAAGGATAAACTTCTGTTATACACAACTTAAGACAGATGTTAAGAATATCATACTGCTGGAAAAAAGCCCCCCAAACCCCCCAAAATCACAAATATGATTTCATTTATACAACATTTTTGAAATTTATGTCAGCATCTGTAGTTGGTCTTTGTTTGTCATCATCTGGTTTTGCATCATTTGCTTTGACCTGCGCTACAAAACTGATGAGCCACTCTATCCCCAGAACTGTAGCCATAAGTTCATGGAAGCAGTTCTGGGCAGCAACAAGCTACACATAGATATAGGGCATACCATATAGACCTGTCACACCAAAAATGTTCCTACAGACTTCCTCTAATCTCGCTCAACTTCTAATAAGTGCCCCCATACTGCCAGGCCAGATATTGTTCTGGTTGTGCTTGTGTGATTAAATAAAGCAATCTGTTCTCGTAAGAGTCAGTGTAACTAGCACTATGGGGACCAAGAGAAATATCTCCCTCAGAAATAGTGTTATCAACAAACAAGGATCCAAATGTATAAAGAGCTTAGATTCCACAATAGGCTAGTGGGAAAAGATGTAAGTTTGAACAAAGTTCTGTAAGTATGATAGGAAATCTTTCTACCAATGAAAAAGACAAGCTTAAGAGGAAAAGGGGCAAAAGAGACTAAAAGGGAAGTGGACCTGCTTTTCATGAGGGCCCATTTTGGATGATTTATAAAAGCTTTAACCTCGTAATAGTCTCCCATCAGGAGAGGAGGTGCCCAGGGACAGAATGGTACACAGCATGGCCTCCCCCAAACAGGGTCTTTCTAAGTGTCTTCAACCCATTAGGTATGCCCTATGTTTGGTCATTATGTCAAATTAAAGCCCAAGAACCATTGCTGCTAACTTCCAACAAGGATGATGGTTTACATGTAAAATGTCATCATCTCAATGAAAAGGCAAAAGAAATGAGCTACTGCCAAACCTGGGAGCCGCGCCACAGCTGCCTGACAAGAACATTAACACCCTGGTTCATTTTCAATTTTATGAACCATGTAAGATTAAGTTAATTTAAATGAAAATGACTGTTATTTCCAAAAGCCTGGGCCCATCACCTCTTCTGGTAGCGTGATGTTCAGCTCTGCACTGGCCTGGCCTATGACTCTCGAGTGGAAGTAACTGCTGCATGCAGCCAGCATGGCCCGGTGGGCACGAAATCGCTGGCCCTCCACGAATAGGGTGACATCACATAGCACATCTTTCTTCCGTTGGTCGTTGAAGCTGAGCAAGATGTTGGTGCTGTGCACCGTGGATTCATAGGCAAAAACCTCATTCTCACTCAGAGACATTCTGCAGAACAAATGGCGTCAGGAAGTTCAGAGGAAAGCATGCTTTTAATCGTCATCAAACCTGCAAGACATAAGTATAACAACTTAATAAAATGTTAAAAATGAAAACGTGGAATACAAATGAATACATAATCATGACTGTAGCGTGTTAAATTATGTCTTCTACAAAGGAATGCTAAACTCTTAACCCCTAGTACCTGTGACTGGGACCTGGTTTGAAAATAGGGTCTTTGCAGATGTGATCAAGTTAAAATGAAACCATGCTTGATTAATTAGGGTGGCCCTAAATTCAATGACTGGTGTCCTCACAGAGTTGTTATTGTTAGGTGCCCTCAAGTCAGTTACTGCTCATGGAGACACACTGTGACAGAGTTCGACTGGTGATCTCTCGTGTTCTAGGCTGTCATCTTATGGGAGGAGATTGTCAGGTCTATCGCTTGAGAAATGAGTTGGTTTGGTTCTAACCACCAGCTCAACAGTTAGTGGCTTGAAAGAATAAGCTCATGCTGCTTCAGGCCACCCAGCATATGGTAGGTACGCAGTTACAGAAGTCCTGGGAAAGTTGGACAAAGAAAAAGTGAAAATCAAAACCTCTAGATAAATGATGTAGAAGCATTTATTTGGCATGCCTCGATTAAAATAGGTTCTAATGAATTTTAAGGAAAAAGTTCTTGGGGTGAGTGAGGAAAGAATCTTTGGAAGCAAGAACAGAGGGGAGAAATGTTAAACTGGGAAATCACCATCTATGAGTAAATGGGTGGAGCTGGGAAATTCCTGAGCTGCCTCTGATTTTGGCACCCAATGCTGCTGCTTTTAGAGAGTTAATGAGCATGTTCTATTGGGGAGGAAACAGTGGAAGAAGTAGTGTCACACTGTGGAATAGGAGTAAGCTACAGTGGAACAGGCATTTTCTCCATGTCACCTTCCCCAACATCTGACAGACAGTATAGAAGGGTACGGTGTTTCACAGTAAGTATACCACTCGGCAAAAAATAAAGACCCACCAAGAGAAAATAGTGATTCAAATTGGCCAGGACAGATCTTACAGACGAGTCTTTTTTTATATAACGAGTCTGACATAACACTACGAAATGTAGGCAACAAGTAAAACTACTTTATCTGTGAGAACATGATCTACCACACCTAAGTTCTCGCTTTTCTCAAAAGATTGAAGGAAAAAAAGAAAGCTATAAAGCATGTATATATATTTTTAAAATACATACTAGCATGTAGCCTCCAAATTTTTTGAATATTCCCTACGTGCAAAAAGAAAGTACACCCAATATACCATATTTTATGAAAGTGACAAATGCATTATACATTTTGAGAAGCATGGAACCCACTCCCGCCCCATGTTATTTTCCTAAGCTTTAAAGTGTAGGCATACTCTCTTCAAAAAGCATACCAAGTCTGTTTATCCAAATATTATCCACCTACAGCCATCTAGTCAATTCCAACTCTCAGCAACCTAGGAGGGCAATGTAGAACTGCTCCCTAGCCTTTCTGAAACTGTAAATCTTTATGCAAACAGGCAGCCTTATCTTTCTACCACTGAGCAGCTGGTAGGTTTGAACCACTAACCCTGCAGTTAGTCTACTATGCCACCAAGGCTCGTGCACATCATACATGTACTATTATTCTAATATATGTGTGGTACCAGTTACACATTGGGCTTCACCAGCAGCTTCTTGGGAGAAAGACTGGGTTTTCTACTCCCTTAAACAGTTGAAGTCTCGAAACTCCACAGGGGGTCACGATGAGTCAGCAGCAACTCTCAATGGCACTGAATTTGTTTTATGTATTATAAAACACACAGGTCTCCAGGTGGTGCAAATGGCTTACGCACTGCAGTGAATTGCTAACCTCAAGTTTAGTTAAAACCTCCCAGCAATACCACAGAAGATGGACCTGGCTGCCTATTTCAGTTAAGATTATTGCTAAGCAAACTTATGGAGTAGTTCTATCTGTAACTCCCAGGGTTGCCCAGAGCCAAGATCAACTTAGTGGCAACTAACAACACCAACATAAAACACTAGAAATATTCTTTAAGCTAAAAGACAAGTTCTAGTAGTTTCTTCCTGATCATAAAGGCCTGTAGTGAACCCTCCAGACTGTGTGTACCCATTTTGGCCATCATAGTGATAAGACACCCAGAAGATCTAACAGGTGCTAAGTGGTGGTCAATTAAAATGGCCCCTCTAGCCATAATTCCTTATGTGATATAATTCTAGACTCTATGCCTGTGGCTACAATCCTAATTTGGAGTGTCTGCTCTACTGTACTAATGGACAGGATTTGAGGGATTAAGACCTGGTTTTCGCAGAGGGTGTCAACCAAGTCACATCCTTTTCCTTGGGGGCATCTTTACCTTAGTTAAGGGTGCAACTTAAAGACATCATCCTTTGTTTTCCTCAGACGGGGTATATATATATTGGCATCACTGTACAGTTCTAACAAAACATCACATCACCTGGAAAGTCAGACCTCTATTTCCTGATGGAGCTTTGGTAGAAGCAAGAAAACCTGCTGTGATTATGGACACTTTTGGCTTCTACCTCTAGACCCTGCATTTGGCTTGCCTCTGCTTGACTTCTGGATCTGGGACTGAGTAACACCCACTACCACATGAGACATTTCCTCAGTTTTCCCTAGGACATTGCAGTGAACTGCAGGACCCAACAATGTGAGGAAATATATTCAAGGAAGGAGTGAGATAAAAATGAAGCAGAAAAAGTGGGTGTAGGGAGACGTCGGACAGTGTAAGATATGACAAAATAATAATTTATAAAATTATTAAGCGTTCATGAGGGAGGGGTGAGATGGGAGGGAGAAAAATGAGGAGCTGATGCCAGGGGCTTAAGTGGAGAGCAAATGTTTGTGAATGATGAAGGTAACGAATGTACAAATGTGCTTTATACAATTGATGTATTTATGGATTGTGCTAAGAGTTGTATGAGGCCTAAATAAAATGATTTTTTTTAAAAAGGAGCTGATACCAAGGGCTCAAGCAGAAAGAAAATGTTTTAGAAATGTTTATGGCAACGTATGTGAGTGTGCTCAATGCAATTGAATGATGGATTGTTAGATTTGTAAGAGCCCCAATAAAATGATTTTTTTTTCTTTTAATGAAGCAGAACAGCCTCTTGGAAGAGTTGGGCATTTGGGATGTCTTTAATCACCAACTCGTTGGGGTTAGGCTGGTATTAATTCTTGTAAAAGAAATTATTCCCATAGGTGCCACGCCGGTGTATTCATTTAGTTTTACTGACACTTTACTCCCAGCCTGGTACATAGAAGACCTTCAAATATTCAGTGAAAGATTTGCTACACTTTCAGATTTGCTTTCTTCTAAACATGAAAGTTCAGGCAAACCAGGCCCAGGCTGTGGGTGAATTCCACCTCAAAGACAGGCTATTTTAGGTACAAACACAAGCACTGTATCTATAAATTATTTCTATTTTTAAAGTCCTCAGCTTAGTTGAAATGTTGAGTTCCCCAGAAGTGATAAATTAAAACAAAATCTCTCCATTCTGTGATTAAAGTTTACCCAAAGTTAAGGATCGCAACCTATAATTTTCTGATTCAGCAGACACCATATGAAGTCATGGGTAACTATAAAATTAAGTACTAGAACTCCGTTTTGGGGTTATGCCATTAAATAATAAATTCCTTTTAGGAACTGGTCATGCTATTTCTGTTATCAACACAATAATAGTGTCAGGAATAATAGGGAGAACCTACCATCTGGAGAGACTAGGTATGTATTCGCACTATCCTTCATGTTCCCCAAGCCACACCCTGCCCAGCACATGGCCTATCAGACTCAATAGCAGGCCACCTGGCATCTGCCTTGCAAACTCCTAAGACTACATCAATTAAATGTTTATTTTACATCATTCTGCTTGACATGACACAGCCAGGAAAAACTGTTAAAACATGCAAAATGATGTCACAGCACTGATCGATTGTTTTATATATCCGTCTTCTGGGCTCCCCAGCAGCTTTCCAAGTCACCATCACTCTCTTCAACCATGTCTCTCCCAAGGGACCAGCATAACTGGGATCCAACCTCACAGAAAACAGCCCATTCACCATCTCTACTCGATCCCTTCTTTTGTGGGAAAGCAATTCATTCACGTGATCTTTTGGTCTTGTATCATCTTGGCTTCTCTGAGGTCTAGAACCTTCTCTGCTTCTGGATTTTTGTGTTTTTGTTTTGTTTTGCTTTGCTCAGTCTAAATGAAGTTCTAGAAAATCTACATTATTTTTTCCTCTATTAATGCAGCCTTATCTCAAACCATCCTTTTTCCCTTTCTTGCTATTCTCCACAATCATCACCCTTCCTTCTCGAAACATGCACATAAGCTCCTTCACATCCAGGGACCTTTATACCCAGTGACCTGGATTTCTCCTATTTACAGAGGGCTAGCTCCTCCCCTTCTGGTCTCACCTAAAATTCTGACTTGTTCTCTACCTTAAATCTAGCATACAACAGAGTATGTACTCAAATAAGTGATTTGGAAATGGTAGTAGATTAGTGTTAAATTACTACCACTTGCCTGTCAGTTTGTTGTACTGTGTTTTCTTGTGTGTTGCTGTGATGCTGGAAGGTATTTCAAATCCCAGCAGGGTCACCCAAAGTGCACGGGATTCAGCCAAGCTTCCAGAATAACAGATTATGAAGAAGAAATCGGCAGTTGACATTGGAGGAATTAACTGATAAAAACCTGATGTATAGCACTGTCCGATCCTGAAGGCCTAATTAATAGAAGCAGAATATTGCGAGAGATAGTGCAGAGGATGAGCTCCTCAGGACAGAAGGGACTCAAAACATAACTGGGGAAGAGTTGTCCCATCTAATTAGTCTACTATAATGACGTGACGGGGGTTAAACCTGGGGGAGTAAAGCCTGCAGGACCTTCATTTGCTGATTGGGGCCATCACTCAAAATGAGAACAGTGATAAAAATCTACCAATCAGAACTTGGAACGTATAAAGTATGAATCTATAAAAACGGGAAATGAAATGGAGTGCATAAAGTTCAATATGCCAGGCATGAGT